TTAGTAGATTATGAAAAAGCAAGTTCAATACTGTTTATTTCGATTATTATTATTATAATTTAAAAAAAAAAGATTTTAACTTGTTTGCCACACATGTGAATTGATTGACAAAGGAGTTCCAATTTTTCTAGATTCGATTTCCAAATTTGGTAATAATCCTGACTATATTAATAATGATTACAAAGAACAAATACACTAACCATTTATTATCATCAAGAATCTTATAATTAATTACCAAAGAGACATACAAGTTCTGCCCCATGTTTTAAATAAGATATATTTATAAAATAAAAAAATATCATACAAATATCAATACAAATATCAATACAAAAAAAATTGTATACCTCTCATCATCAATAAACAATGTATGTCTTTAGGAGAACCAACCAAGATGACAAAAATAAATGTATTTCAAAAACAAAAAAAAAATCAATAACAATTTTTGTACAACATCAAGTGCCAATAAAAAATATTTATTTTTGTTTACGTGACACATTATTCAATTAATCAAATTAATCAACAATTTTTTTTTAAAATTTTTAAACATGCCGAATAAACTAGTATCCAATAGAAGAAACAAAGGAAAAGGTATTATCAAAGCAAGATCTGAGTAAGTATAGTTTTTATTTTTAAAAGAATGGTAGTGGTTGCAATCAGTTGTAATATAAAATATAGATAAAATCAATTTTTATGTATATTTGTGACTAGATTAAAATTTTGACATCTTTATTTTTTTAGGCTTCCAATACTATTAGCAGAAGTTTCACAACAGGTAAGTAAATTATATCTTATTAAAAGGCAGGCTACATTCATTTGTTTTCAATGTTCTTAATTTTTTAATAATTTCTTTATAGGAAATCTACACAAAGTTTAGATACTTAAAATGCACTTAAAATATACTGATGGAAGAGAACAAGAACATTTTAAGTGAGTTTTAAGTATGTTTTAAGTATGTTTTAAGTATATGAAATTATACTCAAAACACACTTAAAATATACTATATACTTAAAATATACTTAAAACATACTTTTGATGGTAAACTAGCATACTTGAAATACACTTAAAATACACTTAAAAGGTTACTTAAAACATACTTAATTTTGTTCATTATTAAAAAAGGTATGTTTTAAGCACATTTTAAGCACCTAAACTTTTTGTAGGGCAACCTCCATCTTAGATGAACTAAGCAAGCCAATAGATAACAGTAACTTAGATTATGAGTGTAAAAGATTAACTTCTTTAAATGACTCTATAAATGATATACAAATTCTATGGTCCAATATGTCTGAAATAATCAGCAAAACATTGAGTCATATTGATAATAACGATGAAGGACTACAATCAGATCATGAATTACCTGAATTACCTGAATTATCTGAACCATCAGATGATAATACTAATAATGGTAATGGTAATGGTGCTAGTTGTGTATCAAAGAATATTAAAGCAGGTAGGTATATGTTATTTATATTATGTATATGAACATACACATTTACTAACTAAATCAATTGATTATTAAGGAATAACGTTTCCGATTGGATGTATAGGCAAGTCTCTTAGAAAAGAACAACATTTTCATCATGTTGACTCAAAAGCACCTGTTTATTTGGCTGCTGTAATGCAGGGTTGGCAAATTGACTGGTCCATTGAGAACAGATGGATTTGGACTGGTCCATTGCCATTAATAAAATACTAAATATGGTTAAAGTGTTACACTAATGGACCCAATGGACCACCAATAGACCATCAATGGACTGCACATTTGCCAACCCTGCTGTAATGGAATACCTTACAGCAGAAATAATTGAGATATCTGGAAACATGTCTTGTAATGAAAAAAAAAAGAATTGCTCCAAGACATATACAACTTGCAGTTAAAAATGATGAGGAGTTTAAAATATTGTTGAGGAATGTGATTATTCCAGTACACAATATTAAACCTTTTAGTTTTTAATTCACAAGATTTTAATTGATGTCATAACTATGATATATATATACCAATCTACTTAATGATTAATACTTTTTTACTAAAATTTTAAATATTAAATATTACTTTGCAAATTATTTTTATTATATATATTAATATTATATGGGAAATTTTATTATTATTTTCAATGTTCTTTATTATGTTCTCATGACCAGTATGATTATATACATCCTCCTGTACATGAAGCCAAATGGCAAACAACTATAGGCAAGATACCAACATCATGTTAGTGGTACAACAGTGATTTTAAACCTTGGTTAGTGTGTTCACATTCGAATATCCATATGATTTATGAATTTGAATATTCAAGATTTTGAATTTTGAATATTTGTTTGTACATTTATTTGTCATAATTTACAAATGTTCAAATATTGTAATGCAATTATTCAAAATAGCCTCAGGTATTTGAATTGTAATCAAATATTTGAAATAACCTTGGGTATTTGAAACATTCAAACTTTTACCCATATTCAAATTATAATGAATGTCATTTTGATAAAATTTCAAATATTTGAATGTGGTGTTAGAGATACAAATTTGAACACTAACCCCGATAATACCAATGTTCACTTTGTCTGGTTTTGTTGCAGCATGCCCCCATTTGTAAAAACAATTTCATTAATAAAATAAATAATTTGTAAAAACAAATTTCAAATTAAAATTAAAATTTTATTACTGCTTTTGTTCA